GGAAAAAGAAGAAAAAACCAAACGGCAACATCATTACTGTGTATGCGGAGTTTTTCTTCCTTTCTGCTATTCATTGGAACGGACATCTGCAGCTTGGATAGAATGGGAAAGCGGGTATTTTAACTGATGTTGCAGTTGTGGTTTCCGAGTCTATTTAGGTGAAAGAATTCAAAAGGCAATTTTTTCGAGAAAAATGATAATTTTTGGCTGAAATGATTACCGCATTTTTGATTAGGTCACTTGTTTTCTGCTCTTTGTAATTATTGTTGTCTATTGACATGTCGCTTGGGCTTTTATCTTTCTTCACTCTTTCTTCTTAATTTTGATTCCGTCACAGTATTGTCAAGAACCTGGCAGATTTTATTAAATGCTTTTTTTTCTCATCTATTTCTTTTTCTGCTTAAAAGAAATAAAAACCTTCTTGGATCATAAGGTTTTTTTTTTGTTTACTTCCTCCGTTACAGTTTTATAAATGTTTAAACTGACAAAGAGATGTTAAAATTTTGAAAATATTAATTCCTTAGACGAATGCAAAAGTGATAATGTAGTTTGGCAAAGTTTTAGGTCCTATGCACCGATGGCAGTGGGTAGTTCATTGGGTACCTCACATAGTGTCCACGGTGCCAGATATGGTTCCGGTATTATTAAGGATCTCCCTCATAAGGCAAACTATGAGCCAAAAAGTGTAGCATCGGATGCACGGGATGGACACTTTGGGAAATTGAAACAGACGTTGTTCTCGTGGTGTAAATGGAGAACGTTGGCTATATTGCTGCTTGTTCTTTCGGCCCTTTTTATTCTTGCAATCATATATTGTAGGTTTTTTACCATTATTTTTTTTTCTTTTGTTATTGTTAAATCTTTTTTTATCTGTTTTTTTTTTTGTTGCTGACTCATCTCTCCAACAATTGTTCTACTTTCACATCTCTACCACAGTTCCATTGGGATAACATCAAAAGCAAAATAGAATACTTTCAGTGGAGTTTAAAAAAAAAAAAAAAAAAAAAAGAAAACAAGGTGTGTAACTAAAGTTTCAATTTGTCTGCTATTGTACTTTTTAATAGTCATCTTCTGTCTTTTTTTCCGACATGTTATTTTCTGAAATCAATGAAAATTTCAATTAAATTTACATTGAACAAAGAAAAAAAAATTTTTTTTTTTAAATAAATGTTATTAAAGGTGGAAATTATGGCTTTTTTATTGTTGCAAATTTTTCAGCTTTGTTTTTTTACGTTTATTTTCATTTAAATTTACAATTGCGAAAGGCTAGCTGCTAGTCAATGTTCACTTAGTTTGGACTTCTTTCCAGCCTCTTATGCTAAAGTTTTACTTGTTCTTTTTTTTTTGTTTTATGCTTTATGTATGTGGTTTTCTGTTAAAGAAGTCACTTTTTTTTATATTTTTTTGTTGGGTAAGAAAGCTCAAAAAAAAAGTTTTTTTTTGTCAATTTTAATAAATCTCAAAGTATGATTTAGAAATGTATTTATTGTTTTTCAGTAGCTTTAAAATGTAGCTGTTCAAGAGGCTTTGGCCACTATTTTCCGTCTTATGGATCCAGTCAAAGCGGGTCTAGGTTATTTAGTAACGATACAGACTTTTTAATATTTCCGGAAAGTTTTAATCTTGGCGATACGGTTGAGGGTGATCTGCTGCCAAAGTCGTTGGTATTTTCGTAAGTTTTCTTCATAGTCAGCAAATGCTTCTTTGTTGTTGTTATTGTTGTTGTTCTTGTTGTTGTTCAAAATTTTTTTACACTTTATCCCGAAATTTTTCTTCCATTCAATTTTCTCACCTCTTCTATCAAATAGTTTTTTTTTTTTTTTCAGAAAATTTTCGCTACAAATGAATACACGTGTTCTTTTTAATGTTACTGTTAGTCAAAAGGCACAATTGGGAATATATTTAAAGCACACATTATTACCTTCACCAACCAATTATGATTTTGCGGAAATTGTACAGGGTAGCCATCTTCTTCCAGAGCCTCTAACTGTTCGTTTGGGTTCTTCTGATACGGTAAGTAATTAATGGTTACAGTTTTTTGTAGTTTTTTTTTTGAAATTTAATACTTTGAATTTTGCTTCATTTTTTTACATGTATTAAGTGCCGATTTTTTTTAGCATCTTTTTTTAAAGTTTTAATAACCTGTAACAGATAACTTTTTGAGGAATAAGTCTTATTGTAATGTGACGCTAGTTTGTTTTGTGATGATTTCGGCTGGTTGGCTGTCAGTTAGTCAGTTGTCGAACTGATATGATATATATATGTCAGACGTAGAACGCACTAAACCATAACTGTTCTTCTATTTGTTTTCATTTGAAAGTCTAAACTAGATGCATAATTTCTTATTACAGTTGTTTCGACTAGCCATATTTGCCCACTTTTTGGAATCTGGTAAATGGAACATTGCCTTTTTGAACGATTCACCTGAGGTATTTGGTTTGATTTACGCCAGTTATTTATCAATTTTTCTTATATTTAATTAACTGCTTTCAGCCTGAACGTATTCGATTATCTGCAGTCGTGACAGCTTACAGCGTTGATTCAAAAGATCGCTACTATAACTGCAAAGACGGATGTTCGGGTAAAGGAGAGTGCAAAAATGGGAAATGTCACTGCTTTCCTGGATTTACGGGTCAATATTGTGACAGAAGTATGTCTAGCACGTTGTGCGGACCTTTACTTTGAAGTTACTTGAACTCAACATTTATTTTTTGAAATTTTCTGTTTAAAGATGAGTACTCGAACTATTCGTTTTGCTGTTTTCTTTCGTTTTTAGTTGAAGGTTTCGGACGAAATATGAAATTTCTGATTTTTATCTGCTGCGGATTTTGAATACTTGTGTCTTACATCTTAAATATTTTGTTAAAATGGTGCTTTTCGGTGTAATATGAGTATTTTTTAGCATTTTGTCCAGTTCTTTGTTCTGGCAATGGTGTATATTCTGGTGGTCAGTGCGTCTGTCACGATGGCTACAAGGGCAAAGAATGTGATATTCCTGTGCATCGGTGTGTTAACGCTTGCATACACGGTATTTGTTCTCAGAAGGGCATTTGTGAGTGTGATCTTGGTTGGACTGGTGAATTTTGCGACCAGGTGAGATCAAAGTCAAGTAGTTTTTTGTAGCGTTAATTCACTGCTTAACAAGTTTCTTTAAAAGTTCTGTTCTCTTTTTGTGCTGTTTTTTTATTACATACATAAAAGTTTTAGAGGAGCTGTGATGACCCGTCATGTAGCGGGCACGGGGTTTGTCATGAAGGCGAATGCTTCTGCAAATTTGGTTTTAAAGGTGCTTCATGTGAGGAAACGTTTACATTGAAATCTTTATGTGAAGCTTCAGAGATTACTGCGGTTAGTAGCAAACTTTCTGCAACAAGTCCATCGCTTGATGCAGATATGGCATGCAATTCTCGTGGTACAGTGATGAATGGTACTAACGTCTGCAGGTGCATTCCTGGCTACCATGGGGAGCGATGTCAGCTAGGTTCGCTGTCAATTTTTTCACAGTGAACAACTTTTGATTTTTTTTTTCACTTGAAATTCAAAGTGACGCTAGCGGTTTTTTATAGCTGTTTGTGATGTGAAATGTATGCACGGGACGTGTGGAGATGGTATTTGCAATTGTGAACCAGAGTGGACAGGTGTTGCTTGTGGTGAGAAATTATGTTTGCCAGGTTGTGAAGAGCATGGCGTGTGCTTGAATGGTACATGTCAGTGTCAACAAGGTTGGAATGGGGAGAATTGTCAAATATGTAAGTGCCATTTTTCTTCATTTTTTAATTTTTTGAGTTTTTGGAAATGCTAGATTTTTTTTGTGATAAACCGTTTCACGCTTGTTCAAATTTGTTTTTTCCAGCTGGCTGTCCTCGTAACTGTAATGATAAAGGAGAATGTCGAATTATGTCTAACGTTTGGAGATGTGTATGCAATCCTTCACATTTCGGCAATGACTGCTCGCTACCATTGGAATCCAATTGCAATGACAACATTGATAACGATGGAGGTAACACCAGTTTGAGACATGAAAAATGATCTTTTTTAAAAATTATTTTAGATCTTACCTACTGTTGATGACCAAATTGTTTGTAGTAAAATTTTTTAGCTGTTATGTTGCTGGGGGCGAGCTTTTTTATTTCTGTATGCTTGTTGAAAGGAATTTCCTTTTTAAAAGGTCTTCCAAATTTTGCCATAACTCTCTGCCATTTCAGATGGACTTACTGACTGCGAGGATTCTGAGTGCTGTACAGACGAAAGTTGCTCATCAACACAATCTTGCATGACTGTGAAGCAACCGAGTGTTATCCTTCAGCGCTACCAATCCTCGGCTAACCCTACATTCTTTGACGTATGGTTTTAAAATTAAACTGAAGAGTGAGATTACACTTGAGTATTTAATAATGGTTTTTTAAGGTTACTGTAAAGTTGCGTATCATTTGTTGACTTATAATTTCTTTTAGAAAATCAAGTTTTTGATTGACCAGGATTCTGTGCACTTGTATGCTGATGCGAAAAACTTTAATGAGAGGTAAGCACTTTGCACGGAGAGGAAATTAAGGCCTGTTTATTTCAGATGGTTCAAATGTTTTTGTATTTTGATTATTTTCTCGATTTCAAATTACCTGACAACTACTTACACCGTTATGAATGAGCGATTACTTGTTCTGCCTTCTGCAACTTGAAGCGGAGGAATTACAACCGTTGTTTAGAAATTAGAATTACTTGCAGCTTTTTCAAGGAGCATTGAAATCAAAATAAAATTTAGTTATGTTTAGCTGCAGGGAATGGTTTTTTTTTTCAGTACAGCATCTGTGATTCGTGGGCGAGTTGTATCTGACCGAGGCTCACCGCTTACTGGAGTACGAATATCTGAAGCTCCTCATATGGGGTTTACTATTAGTCGTAGTGAAGACAACGGTGGTGCTTTCGATCTTGTAGTAAACGGAGGTCGTGTGGTCACTCTGTCATTTTTACGCCGAGGACTAGCAAAATTAGAGCGTAGTTTTTACGTTCCATGGAATGAGATAGTCTATGTTGGCGATGTTAAAATGCACGTTACATCTGTGGTATGTTTCCTTTCATCTAGTCGGCCAGTTTGATCTTTCAGTTTTAAAATTTTCAATTAATACCAGTATTCTACTAATTTTAAGGTACCTTCATTGAAATAACAAGTTTTCTGAAAGAACTGGTAAAATTTCTTTAGTGGTTTGATTAGGGGTGGCTACTTTGGTGAGGATTTTGCTGAAGCTAATTGGTATGATGTAACTTCTTATTTAAATGATTTTATATATTTTTTTTTGTTCTACTTTTTTACAGTTTGTTATTTAATTAATTTATCAGATCCTTGTTATTTCGATAAATTTTTTAGTTTTAATTTCGTCAGATATGTACTATCTTACATTTTGAAACTTTTTTAGTTGTTTTTTTTTTCAAATTGGCACTTTAGCCTTCCCTTGTATCAGAGGATGAAAAGGTAAAAGGCCATTGTCGCAGCTTTTTTGCTACTCACCGCGTAACGCCAGTCATCTTCTCTTCGTGGCAACTAACTCAGTATGCAGGAAAGCTGTCAGGTGTTCCGCATCTTTCTGTGGAATCTAGGAAAATATTTGACTCTGTTCAGGTGACCGTTTGTTCAGTTTAACGGTATTTTCTAGAGATTATTTTGAGTTTGGTTGACTTGGTATATTCAATGGGAATTTAAATATCGAAAAATTGAGATATCGAAAAGTAGCGATAAAGTCGATTATAAAACAACAAATTTTGTTCATTTAATTTTTAAGCAGTTGCGGATTGATTTCAGATTCCTGGTACAGAAGGCATCTATTTAGTTTATGACAGTTCTCGGGCTAGTAATTACAGCAGCATATTAATTATTAAACTTCTTCATGGCAAAGTTCATGAAAAGCTTCGTTTAATTCATCTAAAAATTGAAGTAGCAGGTGTACGGCATGAAGAAGTCCTTGCGGCAAAACCAAATCTGACACACATTTTTTCATGGGATCAAACTAACATCTATGGGCAGACAGTTAGTGGATTGGCTACTGCGTTAGGTTCGTCGCCCTACGACTATTTTTAAGCCAGATTTTAACTAATTCGCTTGAAGTTGCTCTATTTTCTTGCCGTGTTTTCCGATTTTGGTCACGAACTTTTGACATTGTTGGAGACAGTATGAAAAATTTTTTTAGTTTCAATTGGATACGAATATGCTGGATGTAATGAGAGGAACATTGTTTGGGTCTATCGTACAGCCAAGTTGGAAGGGAAGAGTGTGAAACATGGAAGTTTTGGTGGCTGGACGTTAAATATCCACCATCATTACGATAATGTGAACAGTACGTTGACAGCAAGATAGCCTCAATTTCTGGGATCAAATGAAACAAGATTTACGTGTTTTTATTGTTGTTTTTTTTCAGATGTACTGCAAAAAGGTGATGGATCAAGATTTTACCTGGATGAGTCTCCTCAAGTAGTTCACACTTATATTGGCAAAGAAGCACCAAGAAAAGAAAATTGTCTTTTTTGTGACAACCGTAGAGCGTAAGTTGTGTCTTTTTTTTACTTTTCCTGTTTGCCAAATGATCCCAAAATAAGTCAACAGAGAGTGTTCGCACTTTTAGAACTGCACATCTTCGACGCCCAGTGGCTCTTGGATTTGGCAGCAATGGATCTCTGTACATTGGTGATGATAATTGTATTCGCAAGTTGCTACCTGATGGATCACTCGTGACAGTATTGGAATTAAGGTGGATTCAAGTATTTTGCTATTTTCATTTGTCTGCAAATTCCATAGTTAACGAAAGATTCTGAAATTATTTTTTGATTACAATTTTTTTAGCTTATCTGACGTCGTTCATTCTTATTATATGGCCGTTGATCCAATATCGGATTCCCTGTTTGTTTCTATCGCCCTGAGAAGACAGATTTGGCAAGTGCTAGAGAATAAGAACGGTGATATAACGTCGAACTACAAAGTTGTTGTTGGAGATGGCAGCAAATGTGTGGATCCAAAACTTAAATGCGGCGATGGTGAACATGCTGAATTCGCACAGCTAACGTTTCCAAAGGGGATTGCTTTTGATATAGATGGGAATTTGTACATTGCAGACAGTCGACGAATCAGGTGATCTCTTTAAGTTTAAACATTATTTTTAGAAAAAAAATTATTTGGAATAGAAAAAAACAGCTTTTTTACTGTTGCATGTGTGGAAATTCTCAGTACTTGTGAGTTTGTACACTTCTTTTGTTAGTTTTCAGGGTTGTTCGAAGTGCCAGATATTCTAAAGACGACCGTATTATAAATACTTTGATTCCAAGTCCAACTTTTGGTCCACGGAAGTGCGTTGGAAATTTTGGCGATTTAGCTGAAGTTAATTTGGTAAGTATATTTAAGTCATTAAAACCTTTAAGAAGCCGCTGTAAATGATGTCAAATTAACTTCATAATTCATTTCATTAATAGTAGGCATGTCCAAATAAAATGAGCATTGTGATTTACTTTGGAGTTTGTAGGAATGGCCGACTTCTTTAGCTGTCGACCGTATTTCGAATGACCTTTTAGTGCTGGATTCGGATCTACTGTATCGCGTTTCACTGATTTCCGGGACTGCACAAATGGTTGCTGGGAAAATTCCAGAATGTATGGAAGTACGGAATCAACCCGAAGGTGTTCTCTCTTTGAGAGATCTGAACCATGCTACTTCTATTGCCGTTTCAAGAGACTCTACCGTTTATATTGCTGAGTCGGATGGAAAAAAATTAAATCAGGTATTTTGGTATAAGAAGGCGTTTTTTTTTGAGTCAAACGTTTTAACTGTGTTTTTGCAGATTCGTGCACTGTCGCGTGATGGTAACATACGTGTAGTCGTTGGACGAACTGGAAATTGCGATTGTAAGACTCGAGATTGTCCTTGCGATGACATCAGACCAACTCTTAGCACATCGGCTTTTCTTCACTTCCCATCTGCAATTGCTTTTGACCAAAACGACATTCTTTACATTGCTGATGAAGTGAGTTATTCGTTATCCTGGAGCTCCCGCTTTTATTCCTAGAAAATATTCGATGGGAAACCGTCACAAACTTTCAGAAAAATTTTAAAATAAAACGTTTGCAAAAATCGAAAGCCATGTGGAGTGAACGTGAAAATCAATATGAAATTCAAAGTCCAAACACCAATGAAGCATACGTGTTCGATAGAAATGGTGTCCACGTTGGCACGAAAGCACTGTTCAGTGACCAATGGCTTTACAACTTCTCTTACAGCTCTGAAACAAGGTTTTCAATCAGTCATATATAGTTACGATCTGTCGATCTTTTTCAAGGACGAGTAGTAATTTTTCTTTATTGATTAACATCTGTCAGACTGTGTTTTTCAGCGACAACCGACTACATCGGGTTGTTGGTGGAGGAGGTGTTGAATTGAAATTCTCTTTTCATGCTGATAAGGAAGGAAATCGAGAAAGGGTACATTTGCATTCGCTGGCTGGATTGAGCACAACTTTATACGTGAGTAATGCAGACAGTTGCATACAGGGCATACGGCTTCCGAATGCTGGTGAGCCATAAGTATCTTGCGCGTTTATATGATGAATCTTTGTTTAGCAAGTTCTTTCTTTGTGTAATGTACGGCACTATTAGCTGCTGGGGTTTTCACCTGTTATATTGTTTTTAAAAGCATCATACTATTTTCAGAAATCAAATTTTCATACTATAATGGCCAGTTGCTAAAGTCCAAGTATGTCAAGCCAAGAGCTTGGTTTTTTGAATATGACCGGTTCGGTAGGGCAAAAACTGTCACTGACCCTACTGGCAACGTGATTTCGATTCGGGATGAGAGGATAGAGCCGCAGAATTTGGCTCAGGATTTAAGGGGAGAATCTCGAAATTTGACTGTGTATGAAAGGGTAGAACGGCAAAAGCTTGTAGTTGTTGTGTTCGTTAACGATCGAGAACATGCTACATTTCAGTACTCTGATGTCAACTTAGCTGAGATTGGTACGGTCTACCAAGTTTTAGTTTGACTTGGATTTTTTTTTTACATTTTGTTTTTCCTCATTTCTTAGTTTTTTCGGTACTATTTTGGCATACTTGCTAAATTTTTACAAATTTTTCAACGGGAAGGAGATTGTTACTATTCTTTTAAAATTTTGTAAAAAGGTCTGCTTTTGGTATTACTTGAGATACCAGGGCTTTAGATATGTTATTCAGTTGTTTACTTCGTTGTATTGTCATCAAAATTTTTGTAGGAATGGGAAAGAAGCAAGCAATTTTATCGGATGGTGGGTTTTCACTAGAAACTTTTGGTTATCAAACAAATTTTGATGGAGTTTCAATGCCAAAACTAGACGCTAGTGAAAGGTTGATTATGAAGAGGAAAATAACTGTTCCATCACTAAATAAGCCCATACGTCGGGAGTTGAACATGCGATTTGAGTGGCGTGAGATAGTACGAGAAAGAACCAAAAGTGGAAAACGTTACTGGCAGGTCGGAAGGAGGCCTAGGGTATGAGTCAGTGTTGGGTGCTGCTTCTGATAGCATTGTCATCTCACACTCCTCACCCTGAGTGCTGTTTTGTTTTGTTTTTGTTATTTTTTCTTTAGTTTTTTTTTGAATAATCAGATAACATTTAATTTTTTATCTTTTTTCCCCTGTTTTTGGCAGCTTTATTAAACCAGTTTGTTTTAGAGCATGAATTTACAGTTTTACCGTCATGTTTCCAATTTTTTATTTTCATGTATTATGTTTTTTTTTTTTTCAACATTACATCCTAAGTTTTGAAATTAATCATCGCATGGTTGGCTAACAGGCAGTTGAAAAATGACAGTTTTTGAACTGTAATTTTACACATATATGAGAATGTTAGAACTTTTTCTATTTATTTTTTATTGTTTTCAGGTTAACGGAAGAAATGTGGTGGTAATTGACTACAATACTAACAAACGCTTGGGACTGATACAAAACGCTGTTGATGAAGATATACTGCGTTTCGAATACAATGAAGCAGGAGAATTGACACGTGTTATTCCAGTTAACAACTTCACTTTGGCTGATTTTAAAGCTATTTATGATAAATTCGGTCGCCAGCGGAAAATAATCTGGGGGAACTTTACTGCTGAGTATGGCTATGGTTCTAGTAGTCAAGTGATACAGTCTGTAACGAGTTCAGGCAACATAAATATTACCAGGTTATAATGTTGTTTGGAAATCATTATTTACTATTGTACAGTATATCTGAGAACAATTTATTTTCAGAAAATTTGACTATTCCCCAGGGCATTGGTTACCGTCAGCTGTTTACATGCCGTCTGGTGAGCGTTATTCTTGGCAGTATGACACTCACGGACGAGTTCTTTCTTTCACTTCTCCATCCGGAAATACAAATCGTTTTTCAAAGTATGCTATCACTAACAGGATAATTCTGGAACGTCAAGCTGCCCTGTCTAACTCGTCTTTTTTCGCAATGTGAGAATTCTTTGTTCTTTTTTCTTGGGTAACTTAGGTTCACTTACGTTGTTTGAAAAAAGTTATTTTCTTAGTTTCTTTAACTTATGTGTTATAATGAAAGCTTTGTTTATTTTTTTATATTTTTAAAAATTGTTTCAGTTTTGACGATAACACTCATTTACTAGAATATTTGACACCTGACGGCGAACATTTTCTCTCTGCAAGATATAACATCTATGGAAAATTGGAGAAATTAACTGCTGATTCTGAAACTGTAGATTTTGTCTACCGTAATGACACTGAGGGAGTCTTGGTACAGTTTTTAGAGTAACAAAATTTTCTTACAGTTTCAGCCAAAAAGTTATTTTTAACTGTGATTTTAATTTAGTTGAGTGAAGTTTCTGGAAGGTGGTTGAAGAGAGAATACGTTCATCAAGGTCCATACCCTGTTGTTATAAATGAGATCCATAGCTCACTGAGGGGACCTAACTCGTGCGTTTTATTCGCATTTTTTGCCTGTTTTTGTGGAGTTTAAACTGCAAAAAGAAGCATTTTGTGGTGTAAATGGTCTTTAAATTCTTTCCAGCGCGTTTTCAACTGATACTGTCGAATACGCATATGAGTACAATGATCTCTTCCGGTTGTCGAAGATTACTGCGAAAGTGAATGGGAGATTGATGGATCAAATGCGATTTACTTATGAGCCACGTGATGGTACATTGACTAAAATTAATGATCTTGATTTCTTCCGCGTAGGCAGTATTAGCCGAATCGTTGGAACTGATGTAGGCTCTTATCTGATAATATTTAGATGTTTGAAATTTCATTAACTTGGTTTCTTAAAAATAAGTTTCAATTTTTAGTTTATTTTTGAAACGAAAAGAGGATATTACGGTGAGGAAATTGAGCGCAAAGTAGTGGTGGCAAATACTTTAGCTTTAAAAATGGAAACTTTTCGAGATTCGCTTGGAAGAGTTGAAAGCTCAAGTTGGACCGTTCTCAAAGAAAGGAGACCGGTGGAGAAGCGTACTTATGACATTAACGGACAAGTAAAATTTTTTAATAAATTTATTTTTTAGAACTTCGTATTTTGCTCATTTTTCTGGTAACTTATATTGTTCATTGTGGATAAAAGTTTATCTTTTTTAGTTACTGCACTTGACCGTTGGGGAACGTGACGATCGCAACTGGGCGTTACATTATGATCTTGACGGTCGATTGAAGGGTTTGAGTGATGTTAAGGTTGAAATGAATCCAGCAGGAATTCCTTTGCAGTATGGAAATGTTAGTAGTATTTTTTTCATCAAGAGATAATTTTTTAGATGTTCTTAGTTGCTAGGCTAGAACATTAGGTGTTTTTTTCAAAATGTCCTCAGTTTAGTGGAAGTTCACGGCTGACTCAAATGGATGGATTAGAATGCGTGGAGATCTCCACTTTGAATTCGATGTTTACGGACGAATTAGGCGAGTATGGCATCCACACTTTTTAGACATCGAGTATGGATATGATGAAAATTCTCGATTGATATGGCGCAGAGTCAATGACCAGTACTTACAGCGATTCTTCTATGGAAACCCGAAACTTCCGCATCTTATTACGCATTTTCTTAACAAGTATAGTCTTCTGGCTTATGGTTTTTATCATTTGTTTGTTTCAATCAGCTGATTTTTCTGTTTTTTCTTTGCAGCACAAATAGTGCGATGTCTACGATAATCTATGATGAAAGGGGATTGCCAATAATATTTGAAAGTTCTGGAAAACGTTACGCGATTGTAACAGATACAGATAAATCTGTGCGTTACATACTCAGTTCCAATGCAAAACTTGTTAAAGAAGTTACGCGAGATCCCTTAGGAAGGATAGTTGAAGATTCGAATCCGTCGTTCTTTTTCCCACTTGGGTTCCTTTCGGAATTTGAAGATCCATTAGCGGAAATCGCAATCATCGGATCGGAAGCACGTCCATTAGATCTTTATTTGGGTCGTTTCATGTCAACATCTATTTCTTTTCTGAAGCCTAACATAGATGTTTTTCGACCAGAGTATGAAGCTGATCCTTATCGACTAAAGCGAAATTATATTATCACTCCTCCGTTAAGTAAGTTGTACTGTTCATTACTTAACTGGTCTTTTAAGATATCTGCTGCTTTTTTGATCAAGACAAAAAAGTGTAAGAAAATTAAAATTAATATTCGTGAACTAGCAGAAAAACGGTTACGCAGATGTGTAAAAAGTAGGTAGAAAACGGCTTCAATGCTTAGTTATATGTTATGACGTAGCAGCACCTATGAAATACTTCTTGCCTTTCAAATGATAAAATAAATAAATAATATTAATGCCAATTAAAAGTGAGATCTGAGACGGTTACGGTAGGGGTGATAAATTGCATTAATATCATAAATTTTTCGTTTAGAAACTTGAAATTAGAAGATTCAAAAAGCAGTTTAGCGGATTGGGGCTTGGCAGGTGTCCTTTTGTCACGTTTTTTTGATGATTTGTCGGCTGTTTTTTGACAGTTTTTTTCGCATTACTTGTCTGCATATCTGTTTTTTTTTCTTTTCCTTCAAACGCTTGGAGATTTTCTGTTTTAGACATTGCTGACTGGATGGAGCTAGTTGGATTTTCTCTTGCAAATGTAGTTCCATCACTACAAAAAACGAGTAGTGAGTTCTCTGGGGTTGCAACGCTTATTGATCCCCTGATATACCTCTGTGAAACCGGAAATCCATATATCTTCTTTTCTGCTCTTTGTTCTCTGAGCAAGCAAACAGCTCACTTTTCACAATTCTTAACTGCATCCAGGTCTGGGATCCTACCGGTACTTCAGTCGCCGGCACAGCCACTGACTTTAGTTGGTTCGTATAGTAACAATGATACTATTGGGTATAAGGGAATCGTTTTTATACAAAGCCCGGAAGGGATGGTAAGTATGCTGTTGGATTTTAGATAAGTGTCTGTTCAAGTAAAATATTCGTAGCGTAATCGGGAATGTCTTTTTTTAAATGTCATGAATTATGTGTGCGAAAAAGCAAGTTTCTGTTATTTTGCATATTGAATGTTTAAGTGCCGCTGTATCTCACTTTTACAGGTAAAGGAATTGAACGTACTTGACGAGTCGCATTTGAGAGCAGTAAAAAGACTCGACTCGCTTTTGAAGCATAGTGTAATTGTTGGAACGGATGATATTGGCTTGTCAACGAAGCCAGGGTTGATTGCTGAGGTAACTATATTAGTGTTAGAAAACTGCACGGTATTAATTTCTTCATTTGACTTTCAGCTGACATTGGTATTTAGATTCATTTTGCAACAAACTTGCCAAATTCTTACGACATCACTGCTTTCAACGAACTCAGTTCACTTTTCAAAGTTTCGTTACGGAAGAATTCTTTGGTATTAAATGCCAACAAAACACAAATTGTCTTTCATCTAAATTTTAGCATGGTATGTTTTTGGAATATTTACAGCTGTGATATCACTTCCGTTGACTTTCACGCAATAATGTTACCTACTGTGAAATAGCTCTTCAATTTTTTTTTTTCAATTTGAATTTTTTTAAAACTGTTCGACCAAGTACATTTCAGAATCAAGTCCGGCAGACTCTAGTTGAGGATTTTGAGCAAAATGTAAAGGCAGGAATCTGGGCAAGTGAAGTCTCTGCAGTTAAGGACGGTAGAAAGTTCCGTCGTCCTTGGTCAGAAAGCGATCAGAAAAAGCTTTTGAGCAGTGGTGCAGTACCCGGTTATGACTTGAAGTTCCAGCCAGGAAATTCTATACCGAACCTGTTTAATAAGAATCTGTGGACGTTTGTACCTTTATAAGAACTTCTTTTTCTTTGCCGGTGTAGTTCTTGTTTTTGAAGACCAGTCGTTCAACTTTTTTTTTGTACATTATTCTTGCCTCTTCTCATATGAGTTGCTCTCTGGTTCAGGAAGTCTTTAGAGGATTTAGTCTTTTTGCTGATTTCTTTAGTTGAACAAAATGAAGTTGAAAATGATAACAAAGTTTATTTTTTAGTCATATTTGTTGTTTCATACTGGGTTCTAGTAACCTCCAAAATTTAGCCAAACCACTGACGAGTCTGTACATTTTCCCTTACAATATCATTTGATATCGACATCTCAATTTTTTTGTTATTGAAATGGACTTTCACATTATTTTCTTTCCTCATTTTTTTTTCACTAGTGCATTTTATCTTTTTTCTCCTTATTGTGATCTTTAATTAGTTGCCTTGATTCGTGATTATAAGTTTTTGTTTTGTCTTTTACTTTTTGCAAACTCTTCTTTTTAGTTAGGTGACCAGTAGTTCATTGTTTAAAGCTTAAATTTGCATGAATGGCACCGTTGCAGAGATTCAACTACTTTGAGAATTTCTTTGTTTTTTTACCATCTCAACAGATGTACAGTGCCATTCTGACAGTTATTTTTTGCTTACGAGCACAATATATCTTGTAAAAAAACTGATGATGTTGATCATCGCAAAAAATAAACTGGTTTTAAATACTTTGCAGTTCCCAAAAACTGCCAATATCGGTGCTTTAATGTAATTAATAAGTAATTTTTTTTTTGTTTTGCAAGATTACACTTCAACGTATTTTCAGAGTGAAAGAAAGTTTTTTGTTTTACAATCTTTCCTTCCATGTGTCCTGATTCCTAGAACGTTATTGTTGTGTATTTGGTGTTCGAAGTTATCATGTTGCATTGATGATTTTGTCGTGTACATTGTTTCATTCTTCTTTCATTGTTTCTTTTTTTTGTCTTCTTGATATTTCAAATTTGTTATTGTTTCATAAAAGATTCTATTCAAAAAAAAAATATGATTTTGCAACTTATATAACTGGAACACTGCTGACCGCCACTGTTGCAAAAGTGCCGCCATCAAGATCAGTTGCAGTATAAATTCTACGTTAAAATCGTCTCTGATTTTCTTGGTCTCTATATCGCACAAAGCTCAACAGTGCACGTGACGCTTGAGTGAGTTGTAAGAAGGCCTTTTATCAATTGTGACACTCTGTCCTCTGTTTCGTTAAGAGGCATTTTTAGAAGTACAGGTCACAGTTAAGTGGTTGCTGTTTTCGTAAACTGTTCTATTATAAAACTGAGTGCTGGGGCCGGTGCTTTGTTGCAAAAATACTTTATGCAAAGCGGCACGTCACCGTGAACTTAGAAGTTAAAATTTAATTTCTCTGCAGAAGGTCCCACAAAGTGCAGTCTGTTCTCCGCTTTCAAAGTGTTGTATCATGCTTCCGGTTTCTATTTATTCAGCAGTTTGTTCATTCCATTGGCTTTAATATATTTAAAAATGGGTTACTCTCCACGCAGTTAACAAAAAAGTAAATTATCGCACTTCCCACGAAATGATTGCAGTGAGGTTTTTCAACAGATTCAAAAGCGTTTTGCTCTAATCCAGGACACAAAACGCGAGTCTTTAGTAAAATACTTTTGTTATAAAACAATTGTAACACGGTTTTCTATCATCCTAACAAACGACACCTGCTGCTTGGCGAATTACAAAAGCACTTGTAGAAAGCAAACGTAACCGACCATAAATATCGCCACACAAAAATGCATACACGGAGAGGCCGAAGATAAAATGGTGAATTTGACAAGAAGCTAATAACGTTGAAGACATACATCACTAACGTAAGGAGCAAACTCCACCAACTTTTAATTTATCCGGAATAAGATACAATCCAGAACTTAAATCTTTAAAAGCACAACATCAACGGAAAACTGTCGACAAACGCTACTAGAAGTGAAGTCCAGCCCCAAAATCACTAGAAATAAATTTTAACGATTAATGATTAACTGTAACAAATCCAAGTGAATACAATTTCTGTTTCATGCATTGTCCGTAAACACACCGAAGGGTTTCTGAAGATGGGCAGAAAAACAGAGCAAATCGAATATAACGCTGTACCCCAAAGCCAACAGAATCCATGGATGTTATTAGCAGAATTAAGTTGTAGTCTGAATGAACTTTAATTACGAAAGTACCAAAAAGCCACGCCCAACAGCCTGATATGAAGCAATTAAAAAAATCCCAACCGGCGACGGGACTCCTAATGAGCTTCGAATACGCTCCAGCGTTATATTCATAGCATCCAATTTCGCACTCAAGTCATTTATCTTAATAAATTAGAAAAAATTAATTTCCTCCATACTTTGAAAAATCTCTTACTTAAAAAACGACGACAATCCCAACTAATCGTCGACATTAATAATTATCGTTATACTCGTTTTCAATTTGTGACGCATGTTGTAAAATGATATTATCATAACAGCGAACTGCATATACAGTGAAGGAATTTTTAGTAAAGCAAGACCAATTTCCTTGAAATTAAAAGTTTCAGATCGTGAGTCCACAAAAATCCGAGCCTCGGAAGTTTAATACTATGCAGCAACAAATCGTAAAGACATTTACCGCTTGCAGCACCCTTGAGGGATGAAAGTCTTCCGATCCTGAGCGAAGACGCTGACGCGGAGGCTGTAATCAGAGTACTTTCAGCGACTACAGAGTTGATTCATGAAAAGAGGAATTTAAAAATAAATAAAAAAATATCCTAAGTTTCTTAAAGTTTAAAGCCCAGAAAATTATGCACCTGATACGGCACAGATTCTGAGGACGACGACGCGGTATTTTGTGGTGGCGGAAAGTCACACTCTTCGCTATTCTTTCTTATGCCGCTGATATTAAGTACGTTTACAGGAGTTGGTTCTCTGAAAATAATAGATTTCCCAGTGTTGTTCTGATATTCCACATCTACATAAAAATGAGGAGAGAATCCGCAATAACTTCTATTTATGTAGAGACCAAATGCAACAGTACTGGGAGAAATAAACATAAAACTTTCAAAATATTGAAGTGAAAATAAAATCCAAATCTTTTTCAATTCATACTATACCTCAAAATTTTTAAACTGGTCACGAAGTTCATTCAAGAATTGATATGCCAAGTTCGTTACTATTCCCCAAAATTTGATAATTTTTTGAGAAATATTCTGCATCAATAAAATCGTAAATTTTCAAAAGATACTATTTGGTGCATAACTTTTTGGCACCAATAAAAGCATCTTTGAACACGACGGACTTGTACTCAAAAAGGTAGGTAGAACATATACTATTAATAATCGCAAAGGTTTAGATAAAAATTGCCTTTTCACTTTAGCTTTCGAGACTTTTAACCTTCGCAAAAAAACATGCATCAGCATTTGGCCAGAAGCAATAAGCCGTCTGCCGTGAACTTTCATACCAATAAAACCTCCTTGCCACTGTAAAAAAATACCACTGCCTCCAAACCACAAAGAAAATGAAGCAAAGAAGAAAAAAATGCAGAAATAAGTTTGTAAAAACTTTTGCACCAACTTACCTGAATGTCATCAGCAAACTTTTCTGTTATAAAAGCTCTCTCAGTTCTCAGTTTAGTGCCCATCTAAACAAAGTCATAAATGTACAAACATGGTTGAATCAAACTCTGCAATGAAGTTTATCAAGCAAGAATACCTTTAATGTTCCGGACGCCCTCTCATCAAACAAATAAACGTCGTAGAGAACTGTTGAACCTACATCAACTGCCTCACCTTCACCAACAGCCACGTCAATAATTGCTCGTTGCTTTGTGTAGTGATTAACAGACCTCAGCACCTAAGCAAAAAACATTAAAAGATATCTGCTAGAAATTTTTAAGCACTGCGCCATAATGTGCGATAATTTTATAAAATAACTTAAATCCAATTACGAAATTTGAAAAAATAACAATCACATTCAATAAAGAAACAAAGAATGCTTTACAAATAAAGCAACATAATCTGTCGCTACATCCCTTTACAGGTCACCGCAAACGGGACAAATAAACAGCACCTACATCCCTTCCCAAACAAAAATGTCCCTCAGTAATGTGGAAAAAAACGTGAATTTAAGCTTAGCAATATTAATTAAGTTTGAATATTAAAATTAAGTACTTTTTAGAGCTCCTATTGGTTTCAAACAGCTTTTTAGCTAAAACATCTTTTCACCAAAAAAGCTCGAGTTGAATAACTTCTTGTTTTCATTTTCTACACTCAATAGAAAGCCTTATAAAAAAATGCATAATGTATTCCGATTTTCACCCACTTAAAGCTATTTTTAAACAACAACATCTCTCACCACTCTCACTTAACAACATTGGCTCAGACTTGTGCATTATAAGCACTTATTTAAAAAACAGTCCAAAAGTAAGGTTCTAAAACTCAGAACTAACCCATGCTCAAACGCTACAATGGCAAATTATGAGCCTTGAATGAAAGCAGTGCTGGCGTTTACGCCGGGAGCCACTCACACACTTAGGATAACCGCTTGTGACAGGACTGAACGCCTACGGCTTACATGAAGTACGTCAACCGAGAAGGGCCTTTCCCACCAAAGAAAAACTATATTACTTGAAGATGAAAATCCTAGGCCCTTAAAAATCTTCAACATACCAAATACTTCCTGACATTTAAAACCATTTTTTTGAGTGAAAAGCAATTTTAGTACAAAAACAATGTAAAAATTAATCCTGATCCATCTGTAAGATCAAAAGTTGTATACCCTTATACACCATACACTGTAATGAACCTCGACAACAAAGCACATGGTGATTAAGACTCAGGACTGGCAAGATTCAGAAAGACCGAACCCTCACAATTTGAAATTATTCAGATCAGTCAAGATTAATTTTTAGTTTTGCGAAGTAAAAAAGCAAAACTCCAGTCTAATAAACAGCCCAGCCTTCATCAAACCGTATAAATTAATCTCCTCAAAACCTCACCAGATATATATATATATATATATATATATATATATATATATGTGTTATTTATGTTTATTTATTTATTTATTTACACTTGTTTTTATATTTATATTTTTTTGATATTTATTCATTTATTTATTTATTCAGAAACGAAAAGTACCCGAAAGTTTCTCTGTTAACATTTTGGTGAAACAAAGATCAAATTATGAACTTCTATTTGGACATTTCCTTGGTATTTTACTTCTGCTTTTCCTCCCCTATTTTAAAAATCCTGTTTTTGAAAAACCTTTGTTGTTCTACAGGCTGTACATTCCCCCACAGTTGATTGAAACTGCAAACGTTTTAGATTGATAAAAAAGCCCTCCGTTCAGTTTTTGGTTAAGAAAAAAAAAGAAAACTTTTTTTAGTATGTCGAACGTACCAATTATCTCCGTGATCCGGAAAAATTTTTTGTGCACTTGCAACGAAATTTCTTTATTTGAAGTTTGGCCTGAAAGGCCAGCAGGAAGGCCATGCTTCTTTTTAAAGACCTCTACGCTTAACATTAACTCTATTTAATTTTACAATACTACTTGGCATTCTATAACATAAAACATCTCAGTATGCCTAGTGCACTGGTTAAAGTCTAATAAACTGTCGACAAATTACAGCTTTCTCAAGTACAGTTTGATTTTCGGAGATACTGTTGCCTTCTCCTAACGCCTGCTTTTAATAGCCATTTCAGTTCACAGTTTTTGACCTCTTTCCGCTGCTAATAAGTTTTCCATAACTTCTAGATTTAAAAAGCAATTGTTATTGCAAAAAAAGTCGGTGTTTATCTTGATTAGCGAACGGGATATATAAACTGAGCATAATTTTGATTAGTTCTCAGAGAAGAGCTTTAAGAATAATAAAATTAGAAGCTTCCAATCATTCTTCCCCTATTTCCTTACAAAATGAACGTAACTTCCAAGGGTATGCAAAAAACCAATTCATTTCAGAAAATGAAATTTGGAAAGGAATACATAAACGTGTAATGAAGCGCAGATCAGCCTCCTGGACCTTTCGCTTCAGTTTCTTCAAAAACAAAACTACACCTCCAATATCAATCAACAATACAATAAACTGAAACAGGTTCGTTCATATCAGATGCGGGGGCCACATCCCCTTCTCCGTTTAACATCTTCGCACTAGTTTTTTGGGAAGCCTAAAGAGGGAGAAAGAAGGGAGGAAATGCAAACCTTTCGAATCTTCCGGCTACAAATGGATAAATTTGACTGTTTTATGGCAACTAGTGACTGAGGCAGTTCTACGAACACTTCTGTTTTTCCAAATTCATTCACATCTCGTAACGAAGATAGAGATACTGTTGAAAGCTGTCGAACTTGTGTATCTTGAAACTCTTTTCTAAGAGGCAATCCAAACAATGTGTAGTTCTTATGTCCCAAATGTTTAACAGGCACGGTGCTTGTGCATCTTCAGCTTTGGCAAGTGTAAACAAGCCTGATCAATCAACCTAATTTCTCGGTAAATGACGTGTTCTCAGGCTGAATTCTGATTTTTTGTTTCAAAGGGTAAACATTTTCAAAACTTTGCAAGGAATTTACTCTTTCACTTTTTCTTCCCAATTTCACATACTTAGGACCACAACTTACTGGGTGACTCTGAATATGCAGAACTGGAAAGAAAACTTGGAAACTTTTGAAAAAATTGTGTTAAAAAAAATTTAACGTTTTTGTGAAACGATTCACATATATACGTTGTGCATGTGTAAATTCATAAAATAACGAATGTTATTTTGTTCTTAAATGGAAAACCTACCGATGCTGCAAATAAAATGCAATTTTCTTCAGATGGAAGTTGCACTATCCATACGGTGGGATCATTTGATGATCGCATTGATGCCGACGCTCTACTAACTGTAAGTGAAAATCTACCATCTAACGAACCGCGAAACATCACATTTTTTTCTCTCGTATACAGCACAACTTCATCACACTAAATATCAGCTAAATTTTGCTCCCGATTTACAGCATCAATGAATCAGATGAGTAATTTATCAAGGAAAAGTGAGAAATTTTATACCAGATCTTTTGAACTGTAATAACACAGAATGCAATTCTTTATGCTGGTACTTCCCTGTCACTGATTTTTTCAGAACTCTAGCTTAATAGCCCTGATGCAAAATTTTAGATCAATGAGTTAACAAAATCAAAATAATGTTCCATATGGCACTGGAAGATAAAGAAATAGGTTCCTTTGTTACTACTCTTCATTAATCTTTTTTT